GGTGAGATGGAGTCCGGGGTCTCAGGGAGAGCGAGTAAAGCATTAAGAAAGGCGCTTGCTGCAGAGTCATATCGGCTCCGTCTCTGTTCACCTCCGTGCTTACTTGCTGGTGACCTTGGGCAAATTCACTGCCTTGCTCTGAGCCTCACTCTCCTCCTCTGTGGAGTGGGGTTAATAATAGGGTGCCCCATAGGGGACTTGAGGAAGGCAATGGAGAAGCACACATGAAGTGTCCTTAGCACAGGGACTGTGGCTGCTAATAGAAGAGGCTCCACCACGGCTGGCTGTGTGGCATTGGGCAAGTCACTCCAGCTTTCTGAACCTCCCATGGCTTATCTGCAGACCTGCTTACCAGGCTTGGAATGGTGATGTTTCCAGATGAATGGAGGGATAGGTGGTACCAGGCCTGAACAGTAAATGCCCTGTCTAAGGGGCACAGCCTGCTCAGATCCATCTCTGGCTATTTTGAGGGTAGATACAGACCCACTGTCTCCAGATCTTCTAACTTTTAAAGGGAAGCTAGAAATCCATCTTTTTTTTTAAGAAATCCAATTTTAAAGGAAAATTTCCCAATTTTTAATGTTGGCAGCTCACTTGACTTAAGACAAATAAAACATATCTGTAGGCTGGCAATGCTTCCCATATGATTCCACTGCTAGGGGAAATCAAACTAGGGGTTAGGGCCCTTACAGAGGATTGCCAGGTCAAAAAACACAGCAGATGATATTTACCAAGCCTGACCACACTTGTCACCCCGTCTCCTGGCACCCTGATAGGACACTCATGAGTTCCATTTTACAGATGGGACAACTGAGGCTTAGTGAGGGCAGATCTGGGATTCAGAGCTGTGTTCAGGCTTCCCCCAACCCTTCAGAGGATTGCTGTGGGAAGCCTGCCTGGAGTCACCCTTCACACCTTCATTGAAATCACAGCTCCCAGGAAGGGGTGTTGTGGTAAGGGAGCCAGAAACGTGGGCAGTGTGGGAGTCTGGGCTCTGAGCTGGACCAGCGTTGGAGGGGTGGGGCAGCAGACATGGCAATCTGTCTGGTACCGTGTGTACTTGCTGCAGGGGTGTATCCAGCCCACGCTGGCTGCTGGACTGGCCATCCCAGCACAGCCTTGCTCTTGGAACATCAACTCGTGCTGGGTAAACATGAAAGAAAGCTGATGGCACCGTTGCATTCCCAGCAAGGCAGAGGCAGGCTGGGACATGTGTGTTCACATTGACATGTATGTTTCAGTGTGTCCAGACCCCCTTCTGCCAGGAACTAGGGCCACCCTGGGCTTATACACAGTGCCCAGTTTGACCTTCAGGTTCTTGGAAAACTTTTTGAAACCTTATCCCTGCCTTAAGTAAGGTGCAGGGGTTGGCAGCGTGGAGTCAGATTCCTGGGTTGAACAGTTTCTTAGCTGTGTCACCTGGGGCTTTACCTTAACTTCACTTTCGTGCCTGAGGACTCTACCCTGCAAACCAGAGATAATAGGACCTACTCATGAGGTTGCTAGAGGATTAAATGAGGTAATATACATACAAAGTGCTCAGAGTACCCCCTGGGGTGTAAGGAGTGCTCAGCAAAGTGGGCCATCATTATCAGAGTCCCCAGCCCCAGGCCCAGGCAGGAGCCTCCACTTAGCATGGGTAAAGCCCTTCCTGGTTAGCGCCTCCCTCCCATCACTATGATGACCCAGCATCTCCTGGTGGTAGTGGGACACCACCAGGGGATCTGGCAGCCAGGAGCCATCCGCACACCTGGCCGGGCTTGGCCCTAGCGCCCTTTACTGCCCTGGTTCCCATGGCCTCCTGCCTTGGGACTTCCAGCCTTCCCAGATGTGCTGGAGAACCCTATCTGGATCAACTTCTTGACTCCAGAGCCACAGATTGGGGAGAACCCCAGGATCCCAGAAAATCCTCAGGAAACTACCCTCTGATTTGACCCCAGTCCAAACCCACAGAATGCTTTGAGGGGTTGCAAATGGGCTAACCACAGCCCAAGAGCCTTTTACACTGTGCCTGAATGGTGTTTACATTTTTTTTTGCAAATTAGCTGCAACCTTTAAAAACCAAGAAACTGCACATTTAAAAAATCCAGATATCTGGCTTTTCTTTAAAGAGCCAGAAGATCCAGCAATGCAGGGTTGGCATTCCCTCAGGCAAAGAAAAGCAGCTGCCTTGGGTGGGCAAGCATGCAACAGTTTCATACACACACACGCTGCCCCCACTTACTTCCATTACCTTGCGTCACCTGTTTGTAACCACCTATCTGAATGGGAGCACAGAGGTTGAGGGTGGGGATTATCCTGTCCCATGTCCCCTGAACTGAGACCAATACAACTCATCCCAGCCTCCTTTTTCAAACCCCCTCCCCCATTTAGAACAAGTCTGGGAGCCAGATTTACTTCTTAGCAACAATAATAAAATCATGAGCAGTCATAAGCAGGTAATGGCTTGTGTGAGTTCCCAGACTTTTTAGAACTTAGTCAGACCTTCAGAGGTTCATAAAACTTGGGAGTGGAGGGTGGGGTGGGGAGGAAACCATCCCAATCAGTGAAAAGGCTGATAATAGAAAATTGCAGAGGTGCAGCCTTGCTTGTCCAATGCAAACAAAAGCATTTGAAGTGAGACTTGGTGAAGTGAGACTTAGTGAACACCCTACGGGCCTGCTCTACTGAGTAACAGGGAGCTGCTGATGGTCGTCCCGCTGTTGGCAGGATGGTAGGGGTGCCAGATTTAGCAAACACAAACACAGGAAGCCCAGGAACGTTTGAGTTTCAGATTAAGAATGAATAACATTCGTATGGGACATATATATGGGACATACTTATACTTAAAATGAATCTGAAGGGCATCTTGTGTTTTATCTGGCAACCCTAAAATGAGGGCAGTCTTAGAGTATTTGAAAAGAACTTTAAACATTTTTTTTAAATGCCATTTAAAACATCACCTACCTTTGGCCAGGCTCCCCTCACAACTAGGTGAGCTGCAGATGACAGGAGTGCAGGCACCGGGGAGGCCAGGGCACAGGGGTGGAATTGGTGGCCCACCAAAGAGCTCTCTGCTGACTGTCTTTTCCTTTCCAGTCTCACCCACCACAGTGGGCAGGATGGCCGTGGACGTGGCAGAATACCACCTGAATGGTGAGTCCCAGCGGCCATGTCACAGGAGCCTGCCAGCCCCCAGCTTGGGTGTCTAGGGGATGACAAACAGGGCCCTATTCTACTGGTAAGAACAGTGACTTGCCCAGGGTCACACAGCTTAGGGACCCTGGGTTGGGGTCTCTTTGTCTTTCTCCTCCAGTGGCTCTTTCGTGTGGAGGGCCCCACCTCTGTTTGACTTGAGGGGCTCCCCTAGGAGGCCTGTTTCCCACTCTTCCCTAAGGATGAGCCTGTGAAGTGGAGTCCACTCACCAGGGGCCATTCCTGGAGGCTTGTAAGTAGTCAGTGAGAAGAAAGCCAGGAATGCTGATGTTAGATCCATGGGACACTGAACTCAGAGATCACCCAGTTCCGCGATAGCGATGCCTGGGACACAGCTCCTGCCTCCTTGTGTGCGCCCCACAGCGCTGAGCCGAGAGTGGCCTCAAGACACCAGACACACTCCAACGGATGGTGGACCGTGTCAGAGCTGAAATATACTTGCCACCTTTTCTCCCTAAGTTCCCCTCCCCATTTACAGATGGAACTCAGTGAGGGAAGGGACAGGGAGTAAGAAACAGGTCAGGACGCGAAACTGGGTCTCCTGACTCCCAGGCTGCAGCCCCCCATCATTCCAGCTCCTCCCCAGATTGCCATGCCCAGCGCCTGCTAGGACCTCAGGCCTCTGTGCCCATCTGCTCACCCGCCCCCTGCTGCTACCCAGGCGCTGCTGGGGGCCAGGAATACAGCACGCACATCCCAGCTGGAGCTCCCCGTGTGTGCTTCTGCTTTACCAGGTCCACTCCCACCCCATCCCCTATTCTCCAGGCTTCCAGATCTTTCCCAAGCCTTGTCAGGGCTGGGCCAGGACCCTCCATAGATTTTTGTGGTGGCTTTGTTTAGCCCAGAAATCATAGATGTTGGCATGAGCAGGGATGGCTCACAGCCCCTCTATCCCTATTTCCTGATCCTTTCATCTCTCCCTGGTCCACCCAGCCCTTGCCCACACCCTGTGTGATTTTTTACATCAAAATCCCATGTTGTAGACTTATTTTTTGTCTTTTAACAGCACCCCAAACATTTTTCTGTACCGCCACAGTGGCATCCTAATGACCTTACATGTCATTCTCCAGGGCCAGTGACATTCCCTTCCAAGGCAGCACCACCAGCCCCGACTGGCCCCTCAGTCAGACCTTCCTGCTGTTCTCAGACTTCTGTGGCTATAAATACAGCCTGGATGACTCACACCAGACAGAACCCTTGTTGGGATTTTTCCCATAGGACAACTTCCCCCCAGGTGGGCCCACCAGATGGGAGATGCTTTTGTTGTCATCTCCGCTGTTTGGATCAGGAGGCCAAGGCCCAGGGGTGAGGTGGCTTGCTCAAGGCACTGCACCCAGGCTCTGTGCATCTTATCCTGTGGCCTGGGGCTGAGAAATGGTTGTGCTCTTTAGCCTCAGCTCTCATCCTCCTCGGGAAAGGGGAGGTAAGGCCCCACAGAGTCCCTCAGTAATTCCTAGGAGGTGCGCCTTATCAACCGCTTTACAGAAAAAGAAACTGAGGCCCAGACACGGTACAGGGACAACCCGCTGTGCGGCAGAGTGGGACTAGAACCTGAACCCGGACCTGCGACTCTTGGGTCCAGTGCTCCTCCTGCCTCCCAGAGCCCCTGGGGAGCACACCGCCCCTCCACCCTCGTCCCCCAGCCTGGGAATGAGGGCCTGGGCTCGGCCTCTGGTGACCCCCGGGACTCCGGGTCGCGCCCCGGGGATCTTCTGCTCAGACCTCGGAAGCGCGGCGCGGCTCCCCGGAGCGGAGAGTGCGCCCGGGGTTGTCACTTTAAATTAAAGACCGAGCGGGAGCGGGGCGGGCGAGCGCGAGGGAGCGCGCGGCGGGCTCCTGGGAGCGTGCCCGGACTGCGGCGCGGCTCTGCCTGCCGCCCCGGCCCCGCCGAGCCCCCGGCCCGCGCCGCGCTCCTCCGAGGCGGGCGCCGAGCGGCACTGCAGGGGAAGCGTTGCCGGCGGGCGCCGGGGGCGTGCGCGCTGCGGGAGGCCGGACGGGAGCCGCGAGCCAGGAGCGGCGGGCCCGAGCCGGAGCGGCGGCCCCTCCGCCGGGCCGGGTAAGTACGCACCCCGCGGCCCCCCGCGAGCCGCCGGACACGCGCCCGGCGCGCGGACGCACGCAGCGCCCCCGCCCAGGCCCGCGGACCCCGGCCTCCGCGCATTCCGCACGTCTACACACCCGTGCGGACCGCACAGCCGCGCCGCGCTTGCACACGCACGCCCGGCACAGCGCACGCCCGGCGCCCTTCCGCGGCCCGGCCACCCCGCGCACTGCGCATCGCCTCGCGCCCCGCACGCCCGTCCCGCGTGTGCACACACGCTGCTCGCCCGGCCATTTACACGCCTTCCCGGAGCTCTTGCTACACGCACGCCCCTCACTTTTACATTCGGCACCCTGCCCTGCCTCGCACCCCTTTCCCGGGTCAGCCCCCAACACTTGGGCTCCCGTATGCCCTGGGGGGTTCCCGCGACGGGGGCGCTAGGTCTTCAGGATGTGTCCTGATCCTGAGAGGCATGTCTCACCCCATTTCCAGGAGGCCCTGGGAGCCTTCCAGGAGAGGATGCTCAGCCTCAGTGCCTTGTCCCTTGGCCTGGGTGGGGGGCTTTCTGGGAGCCCTTCCGAACCTTTGATGTAGCTGCTCTTTGGGAGAGGAAGCTTGTGGTTCAGGGTCTTGGGCTATAGATTTGGACTTTAGAGGGATAAGAGTGGAGCTGAATCTGGGGGCCTGGAGCCAGGCCTGTTAGTAGAGGAGCCTTGAGCCAGACATCCTGGTGACCCTTCTTCCAGGGGCTGCAGAGCGACTGTGTGCTCCGCTCCTCAGTCAGTGAGGCCACCCCCAACCCTAAAGTGCCTGCACCCTGCGTCCTGGAATGTCAGCCTCTTCTCTGAGCCCGGAGGTGACAGATTTAGAGAGCAGCAGCAGCAGAAAATGGGGAAACTGAGGCTCGGAGAATTTAGGAAATCCACCCAGTTGACTCAGCCAGTCTGAAGAAGAGTCAAACAAGTAGTACCCAGTCCCCTGCCTCCCACTCTGAAATCTGAATCCTTCCCCAAGCATCTCGGGGCAGTGCGGGCTCCCAGCCTGGGGTTCAAGCTTGGACTCGGCCTCTTATCAGCTCTGGTGATTATGGGCAAGTAATTTCCTGCACCTCAGTTTTCTTACTAGTACAATGAGCAGAGTAACAGCCCCCTCAGAGGGCAACAGGGAAGATGTGCTGAAACAACACACACAAATCCACATACAGTGCCTGGCATATAGTACATGACCAATGAATGCCAACCTCCACCACCCTAGCCAGGCTGTACTGTGGTTTCCGTGACCTCTGGGGGGGAATGGTAGCAGGCTGTGGTTATCTCAGTGAAGATTTCAAATCTAAAGACACTAAAGAGGTCACAGCCTGGGAGGTTGTGAGCTGCCCTGTACCTACCCCTGATTCCTACCATTAACTGCTGGACTCAGGGTAAGGTTAGCGGTACCAACACCGCACTGGCCATAGATGTGATGTGGGGACAGTGAGCAAAGCAATGGGATGGGGGAGCAGATGTATGGGGCCCTTTCCCCCTTCAGAGGCACAAAATTCCTAGAAAGCCATTTCTCTGACAAGCACAGAAAGGGGCCTAGACTGTGGTCAGATCCCAGTAAGGCCAGTGATAGTTCTTCCTATCCACCTGCACCCCCAAAAGGCCTGGTCAGGAGGTGGCATGGTGGCCAAGAGCCCAGGCCCAGATCCATCACACCTTGGCACCAATCCTGGTATTGCTACTCATATACTGAGTGACCCAGGCCCGGCTTCTTTATCTGTAAAAATGATGACATTTTATCCATTCAAACATCCCGTACTGTGTGCCTACTATGGGCTCCAGGCACTGTTGAGCATTTAGTGTACATTGGGTCTAATTCTTACAGCAGTAGGTATCTCCAGGTAGGTACGATTAAGTCTAGATTCGAACCTAGAGCTGTTTTCAGTGAGCAAGCTCCATGCAGTAGGGACTTTGGGGCCAGAATTAATAGATTGGGTGGGGAAGGATGCCAAGGAAAAGGGACATGAATCTGAGAGGTTCAGATGTGGGTTGGGTGGCTTTGGCTCACCCCTTTTGTGCCCCCTTTTCTGTGTGTCAGAAGCTTGGGGAAGCTCTGGTCACAGTCTGCCCTGGCCTTGGGTGTGCCTTGTCAGCATTCTGTCCCTAGCTGAAGCCGCAGCCCCTCTGCCTGGCAGACCTCCAGGCTGCCAACGGAAGGCCGCTGAGGTTGTGGGTGAGATGGAGTCCGGGGTCTCAGGGAGAGCGAGTAAAGCATTAAGAAAGGCGCTTGCTGCAGAGTCATATCGGCTCCGTCTCCGTTCACCTCCGTGCTTACTTGCTGGTGACCTTGGGCAAATTCACTGCCTTGCTCTGAGCCTCACTCTCCTCCTCTGTGGAGTGGGGTTAATAATAGGGTGCCCCATAGGGGACTTGAGGAAGGCAATGGAGAAGCACACATGAAGTGTCCTTAGCACAGGGACTGTGGCTGCTAATAGAAGAGGCTCCACCACGGCTGGCTGTGTGGCATTGGGCAAGTCACTCCAGCTTTCTGAACCTCCCATGGCTTATCTGCAGACCTGCTTACCAGGCTTGGAATGGTGATGTTTCCAGATGAATGGAGGGATAGGTGGTACCAGGCCTGAACAGTAAATGCCCTGTCTAAGGGGCACAGCCTGCTCAGATCCATCTCTGGCTATTTTGAGGGTAGATACAGACCCACTGTCTCCAGATCTTCTAACTTTTAAAGGGAAGCTAGAAATCCATCTTTTTTTTTAAGAAATCCAATTTTAAAGGAAAATTTCCCAATTTTTAATGTTGGCAGCTCACTTGACTTAAGACAAATAAAACATATCTGTAGGCTGGCAATGCTTCCCATATGATTCCACTGCTAGGGGAAATCAAACTAGGGGTTAGGGCCCTTACAGAGGATTGCCAGGCCAAAAAATACAGCAGATGATATTTACCAAGCCTGACCACACTTGTCACCCCATCTCCTGGCACCCTGATAGGACACTCATGAGTTCCATTTTACAGATGGGACAACTGAGGCTTAGTGAGGGCAGATCTGGGATTCAGAGCTGTGTTCAGGCTTCCCCCAACCCTTCAGAGGATTGCTGTGGGAAGCCTGCCTGGAGTCACCCTTCACACCTTCATTGAAATCACAGCTCCCAGGAAGGGGTGTTGTGGTAAGGGAGCCAGAAACGTGGGCAGTGTGGGAGTCTGGGCTCTGAGCTGGACCAGCGTTGGAGGGGTGGGGCAGCAGACATGGCAATCTGTCTGGTACCGTGTGTACTTGCTGCAGGGGTGTATCCAGCCCACGCTGGCTGCTGGACTGGCCATCCCAGCACAGCCTTGCTCTTGGAACGTCAACTCGTGCTGGGTAAACATGAAAGAAAGCTGATGGCACCGTTGCATTCCCAGCAAGGCAGAGGCAGGCTGGGACATGTGTGTTCACATTGACATGTATGTTTCAGTGTGTCCAGACCCCCTTCTGCCAGGAACTAGGGCCACCCTGGGCTTATACACAGTGCCCAGTTTGACCTTCAGGTTCTTGGAAAACTTTTTGAAACCTTATCCCTGCCTTAAGTAAGGTGCAGGGGTTGGCAGCGTGGAGTCAGATTCCTGGGTTGAACAGTTTCTTAGCTGTGTCACCTGGGGCTTTACCTTAACTTCACTTTCATGCCTGAGGACTCTACCCTGCAAACCAGAGATAATAGGACCTACTCATGAGGTTGCTAGAGGATTAAATGAGGTAATATACATACAAAGTGCTCAGAGTACCCCCTGGGGTGTAAGGAGTGCTCAGCAAAGTGGGCCATCATTATCAGAGTCCCCAGCCCCAGGCCCAGGCAGGAGCCTCCACTTAGCATGGGTAAAGCCCTTCCTGGTTAGCGCCTCCCTCCCATCACTATGATGACCCAGCATCTCCTGGTGGTAGTGGGACACCACCAGGGGATCTGGCAGCCAGGAGCCATCCGCACACCTGGCCGGGCTTGGCCCTAGCGCCCTTTACTGCCCTGGTTCCCATGGCCTCCTGCCTTGGGACTTCCAGCCTTCCCAGATGTGCTGGAGAACCCTATCTGGATCAACTTCTTGACTCCAGAGCCACAGATTGGGGAGAACCCCAGGATCCCAGAAAATCCTCAGGAAACTACCCTCTGATTTGACCCCAGTCCAAACCCACAGAATGCTTTGAGGGGTTGCAAATGGGCTAACCACAGCCCAAGAGCCTTTTACACTGTGCCTGAATGGTGTTTACATTTTTTTTTGCAAATTAGCTGCAACCTTTAAAAACCAAGAAACTGCACATTTAAAAAATCCAGATATCTGGCTTTTCTTTAAAGAGCCAGAAGATCCAGCAATGCAGGGTTGGCATTCCCTCAGGCAAAGAAAAGCAGCTGCCTTGGGTGGGCAAGCATGCAACAGTTTCATACACACACACGCTGCCCCCACTTACTTCCATTACCTTGCGTCACCTGTTTGTAACCACCTATCTGAATGGGAGCACAGAGGTTGAGGGTGGGGATTATCCTGTCCCATGTCTCCTGAACTGAGACCAATACAACTCATCCCAGCCTCCTTTTTCAAACCCCCTCCCCCATTTAGAACAAGTCTGGGAGCCAGATTTACTTCTTAGCAACAATAATAAAATCATGAGCAGTCATAAGCAGGTAATGGCTTGTGTGAGTTCCCAGACTTTTTAGAACTTAGTCAGACCTTCAGAGGTTCATAAAACTTGGGAGTGGAGGGTGGGGTGGGGAGGAAACCATCCCAATCAGTGAAAAGGCTGATAATAGAAAATTGCAGAGGTGCAGCCTTGCTTGTCCAATGCAAACAAAAGCATTTGAAGTGAGACTTGGTGAAGTGAGACTTAGTGAACACCCTAAGGGCCTGCTCTACTGAGTAAAAGGGAGCTGCTGATGGTCGACCCGCTGTTGGCAGGATGGTAGGGGTGCCAGATTTAGCAAACACAAACACAGGAAGCCCAGGAACGTTTGAGTTTCAGATTAAGAATGAATAACATTCGTATGGGACATATATATGGGACATACTTATACTTAAAATGAATCTGAAGGGCATCTTGTGTTTTATCTGGCAACCCTAAAATGAGGGCAGTCTTAGAGTATTTGAAAAGAACTTTAAACATTTTTTTAAAATGCCATTTAAAACATCACCTACCTTTGGCCAGGCTCCCCTCACAACTAGGTGAGCTGCAGATGACAGGAGTGCAGGCACCGGGGAGGCCAGGGCACAGGGGTGGAATTGGTGGCCCACCAAAGAGCTCTCTGCTGACTGTCTTTTCCTTTCCAGTCTCACCTACCACAGTGGGCATGATGGCCGTGGACGTGGCAGAATACCACCTGAATGGTGAGTCCCAGCGGCCATGTCACAGGAGCCTGCCAGCCCCCAGCTTGGGTGTCTAGGGGATGACAAACAGGGCCCTATTCTACTGGTAAGAACAGTGACTTGCCCAGGGTCACACAGCTTAGGGACCCTGGGTTGGGGTCTCTTTGTCTTTCTCCTCCAGTGGCTCTTTCGTGTGGAGGGCCCCACCTCTGTTTGACTTGAGGGGCTCCCCTAGGAGGCCTGTTTCCTGCTCTTACCTAAGGATGAGCCTGTGAAGTGGAGTCCACTCACCAGGGGCCATTCCTGGAGGCTTGTAAGTAGTCAGTGAGAAGAAAGCCAGGAATGCTGATGTTAGATCCATGGGACACTGAACTCAGAGATCACCCAGTCCCGCGATAGCGATGCCTGGGATGCAGCTCCTGCCTCCCTGTGTGCGCCCCACAGCGCTGAGCCGAGAGTGGCCTCAAGACACCAGACACACTCCAACGGATGGTGGACCGTGTCAGAGCTGAAATATACTTGCCACCTTTTCTCCCTAAGTTCCCCTCCCCATTTACAGATGGAACTCAGTGAGGGAAGGGACAGGGAGTAAGAAACAGGTCAGGACGCGAAACTGGGTCTCCTGACTCCCAGGCTGCAGCCCCCCATCATTCCAGCTCCTCCCCAGATTGCCATGCCCAGCGCCTGCTCGGACCTCAGGCCTCTGTGCCCATCTGCTCACCCGCCCCCTGCTGCTACCCAGGCGCTGCTGGGGGCCAGGAATACAGCACGCACATCCCAGCTGGAGCTCCCCGTGTGTGCTTCTGCTTTACCAGGTCCACTCCCACCCCATCCCCTATTCTCCAGGCTTCCAGATCTTTCCCAAGCCTTGTCAGGGCTGGGCCAGGACCCTCCATAGATTTTTGTGGTGGCTTTGTTTAGCCCAGAAATCATAGATGTTGGCATGAGCAGGGATGGCTCACAGCCCCTCTATCCCTATTTCCTGATCCTTTCATCTCTCCCTGGTCCACCCAGCCCTTGCCCACACCCTGTGTGATTTTTTACATCAAAATCCCATGTTGTAGACTTATTTTTTGTCTTTTAACAGCACCCCAAACATTTTTCTGTACCGCCACAGTGGCATCCTAATGACCTTACATGTCATTCTCCAGGGCCAGTGACATTCCCTTCCAAGGCAGCACCACCAGCCCCGACTGGCCCCTCAGTCAGACCTTCCTGCTGTTCTCAGACTTCTGTGGCTATAAATACAGCCTGGATGACTCACACCAGACAGAACCCTTGTTGGGATTTTTCCCATAGGACAACTTCCCCCCAGGTGGGCCCACCAGATGGGAGATGCTTTTGTTGTCATCTCCGCTGTTTGGATCAGGAGGCCGAGGCCCAGGGGTGAGGTGGCTTGCTCAAGGCACTGCACCCAGGCTCTGTGCATCTTATCCTGTGGCCTGGGGCTGAGAAATGGTTGTGCTCTTTAGCCTCAGCTCTCATCCTCCTCGGGAAAGGGGAGGTAAGGCCCCACAGGGTGCCCAGTGTTGGATAAACGCTAGGGCTGAACACTGGGCCCTGCCCTTCTCCAGAGTGAGTGAGTGTTGTGGATTCTGGTCAGAGTTGGCTGGGCTCAGGAGAGGAGGGGCAGGCGGAGGCCTCCCACTGCCAAAGGGGCTGCCACTGCTCCCTATGTGGCCAGGCTTCAGGGCAGGACGGCAAGGAGCCCTCTTGCCCCCATATGCCCTACTCCCTCCCTCCCACTGGGCACTCTGAATGCCCTGGGCTTTGTACACTCCCTCCTCTTTCTCTCAGTCCCTAATGCCTTGGCCGGACACACTTCGTGCTCTTCCCTCATATCTCAGCATAGCTGTCCCTCCTCCAGGAAGCCTTCCTGGGCTTTCCCAACACAATTCCCATCACTCTGTTTTGTCTATTTATTTGTCTACTCTCCCCACCCCTAGGCTGTGAGCTACTTAAGGCCAAGACTGGGTGGGGGCTGACTCCCCCAGCAGGGTGCTCTCACACAGTAGGTGTTCAGTGGCTGTGCAGTGATATCATGCCCCCACCCCCCACCCCCTGAAATGCCCTCCCTACTGCTCTCCATCCTGTGCTGGGCCAAGGCTGGGTGGGGCAGTGGTCACCCGTGCTCACTCTGAAGTCTGACCACCACACTTAGGATGGCCCCACCACCCCTACTGAGCTCTGTGACCTTTGGGCAAATTCTCCATCCTTTGCGTGCCTCCGCTTGCCCATTTGAATTGAGTATAGAGGCAACACTGAGAATGGTTTAGAGAATTGTATTTGCCAACAGTGTGACCTTCTGCAAGAGGAATCCCATTATCTCCTTAGCTTCTTGTGGGAAGGCAGAGCCAGGTTTCCAAGTAGAGAGAGGCAAAATTTTTTTTTTTGGTATCATTAATCTACAATTACATGAGCGACATTATGGTTACTAGACTCCCCTCATCACCAAGTTCCCCCCACATACCCCATTACAGTCACTGTCCATCAGCGTAGTAAGATGCTATGGAATCACTGCTTGTCTTCTCTGTGTTGCACAGCCCTCCCTGTGCCCCCACCCCCTACATTATGTCTGCCAAAATGTTTTAACATGTATGATCCTGCCATGTACCAAGCCCTGTGCTAGTGGGGCCTCACCCTACACAGCTCAGGGGGTAATTAGTTACTATGTTTAGGGACAGTGAGGCTCAGAAAGGGGCAGTTATTTACTCATCAGTGGAGAAAAAGTTATTTGAGTACCTGGATTTGTCCCTAAGCTCTACACAGCCTGAAGCCACCTCTCACTTCTGGCTGAGACTTTTTTTTTGGTAGCAGTTTTATTGAGATAAAATTCATGTACCATACAATTTACTCACTTAAGATGTACAATTCAGTGGGTTTTCATGTATTGTGTACCCAGCAGCACTATTAATTTTTATTTATTTTTTTACTCTTCTTGAAGCAGAGTAAAAGTTTTATTTAAAGTTACTTAGAGAAAAAGTACAGGTGACTTCAGAGAGAGAGGACACCCTGAAAGGTTGGGAAAAGTTAAAGTGACACACTTAGGAAGTGCAGGCGACCTCAGAGAGAGGAGTGCCCACTAATAATTTGGGGAATATATTCATCATCCCCAAAAGATACCCCATATTCTGCATTCCCCTCATCTCTGCGAGCCCCCAAAAAGCACTAATCAACTTTCTGTTGGTACAGATTTGCCTATTCTGGACATTTCATATAAACAGAGTCATACATGTGCTCTTTTGTGCCTAACTTTTTTCACTTAGCATGATGTTTTCAAGGTTCGTGCATGTTGTTCCATGTCAGTACTTAATTCCTTTTTATTGCCAAATAATATCCCACTGTACGGACATACTCCATTTTATTTATCCATTCATCAGTTGATGGACACTGGGCTGTTCTAGATGAGGTTTCAGGCAAAAATGGGGTCATTCCTTTTTCTCCCCCAAATCCTCTTCCTCTTTTCCCAAACTGCAAAGGGCTGCTTTGATTATTTGGAAGTAAAAGGTCCTGTGAAAGCTATAAGGTCAGAGAACTCAAAAACGGAACTACCGTATTTGTTTAAAGCCTAAGGAATATTTAACTATTGTTCTTCTCTTCATCTGCTCTAGCCTAGTGTCTCTCTTGGTAGAAATGTATGTCTTTTTGGAAAAGGGGAAAGAAGCAGAATCACAGGGAGAGTAGGTCTTGTTTAGCACTGGATACCCTGCACCCAGCACCGAGCCTGCTACATAGTAGTCGCTCAGTGAATATTCATTTGATGAGTGAGTCACTCAGTACTGAACTGCCTGCTCCTCTGACGGGGGTCTGTGGCCACTGGCAGGGGCTCCAGAGCCTACTAATGAGAGGTTTCCCCTGCTTTGCAGTCATCAAGAGCCCCCCAGGCTGGGAGTTGGGTGTCTATACTGCTGGGGCCCTCGCACTGCTGGGAATTGCAGCTGTGAGTCTGTGGAAGCTCTGGACATCGGGGAGCTTCCCCAGCCCTTCCCCATTCCCAAACTACGACTACAGGTACCTTCAGCAGAAGTATGGCGAGACCTACGCAGAGGCCAGGCAGAAGGTGAGGCTTCGGCTCTCATGGGTGCACCACCCACTCTCAGGATAGGCTTCTACTCCCTCCCCAATCCCTTCCTCCTGTGAACAGGGACCCTTGTCCTCCTTACCTCCAACACAGCCTAGTACTAGATAATCAATGAAGAATTGTTGAGTGAATGAATGCTTCCAATATTAAAAACCATCCTGTGAAATACGTATATACATATACAGGAAACTATAAATAAGAAGAAAAACCTCTCCCAAAATGCTACCACCCAGAGGCAAGGAGCTGTTAACTGTTTTTTCTTAACTATTAACATGATGATTTGTTTCTTTCTAATATTGTTAATCTACCCCCCTAGCCTTTTTTCCATGCATATTTCTTACACAATGGGTATTACTTCTACATAGAATTTTATACCCTGCTCTTTTCACCTCAAAGCTGAAGGATTTCCCTGTGTTATTGACTACCCATCATAAACATCTTTTTAATGGCTGCATAAGATCCTTTCTATATGTGTGCCGTAATTTACTAAATGCCATTATAAGTAATGCAGTGAATGTTTTATATGTAAAACTTTGTCTTCATTTGGGATTATGTACTTTGAATGGATGCCCAGATGTGGAATTACTGTATCAGGGAGTACAAACATTTTTAGGGCTTTCAGTATAAATTGCTGAATGTTTTATCATTTGACACTTGGCAGAGAATTTTTCTAACATCAGGTAGAGTTCCAGAGAGAACAGCCAGAATCTGTTACCAGATAAGGGTCCCGCATGCTCACTCGTTTGGGGTCTGAGTGAACTATCTCTCATTCTGTTGGGAGCACTATAATTGACACGGCTTTTCCAAAGAACATTTTGGCAACATGTCAAAATCTTTCAAAAGGGCTGTGTCCTCTGAGTCAGGATTTTAAGAAAGCTATTTGATGCTGAGTTATTATAGCTGTGAAAAGTTAGAAGCAACATATATGCCCAGCAGTAGGGACACAGTAAAATAAATTATGGCTATCCACTCAATGGCAAATTTCGGGGGGGTGTGACAATAAAAATTATTCTAATGAAGACTGCAGCAACATGGGAGGTGCCTATGGTACAAAAGCTTTTGTTTTCTCAATCCCAAGGTCAATTTAGAGAAAAGAAAAATTTGAATATTAGGGTAAATGAAACCAACATGAAAGCGTTCTCATGTTGTTAACTTCCTTTGAGGCTGCTCAGTCATGTATGGGCAAGTATCTGGTATTCTCACCCATCTCCCTTCTGCTGGAAACTTCAGTTGCTAACTACTTTTCCTTTTTATAAACATCACTGCAGTGAACATCTTTATGTCTGGAACTCAGCCCATATAAACAAGCATGTTAAGAGAAAGTTTTCTTACATCCTGGTTGTGGAGAGAACACTGAGTGACGTGAAATAATGTTAAACAAGGACTTCCCTAACTAAGGCATGCACCATTTTTGCAAAAGGGGGATGTGGAGGTGTCTTGAATGAACACAGTTTACTGCGTCTCTTTGCCGGCTTCTCAAGACTGTGCTTAATGCTTTGCGATGCTTGTGATACATGTGATGCACCCATGTCCCTTTTCCTCATCCCCAGAGAGCGCCTGCTTGGAATGTCCAGCGGGCCAGCACTCGGGGGCCATCTAGTCGCAAAGGCAGCCTCAGCATCGAGGACACCTTTGAGAGCATCAGCGAGCTCGGGCGCCTGGAGCTGATGGGCCGTGACCTGGACCTGGCTCCCTATGGAACCCTCCGGAAGTCCCAGTCGGCTGACTCCCTGAACTCCATCTCCTCCGTGAGCAACACCTTCGGACAGGACTTCACGCTCGGCCAGGTGGAGGTCAGCATGGACTATGATGCCGCCTCCCACACCCTCCACGTGGCTGTGCTACAGGGCAAGGATCTCCTGGAGCGGGAGGAAGCCAGCTTCGAGTCCTGCTTCATGCGCGTCAGCCTGCTGCCCGACGAGCAGATCGTGGGCATTTCCCGGGTAAGTGGGGGCTGCGGGGTGGGCAGGGGTGTGCTCTGGGCTCTCAGGAGTCCTCCGCTGGCAGGGAGGCCTGCAGGGCCAGGCAGGATCTGAGAAGGCGGCTAGAGAGCGGGTCTGGGCGCTGGGTCCAGAGCTGAAGGTGCCCAGAACCAGGAGTTTGGGGCCTCACTTGAGGATTCTCGTTGTGCACGGTTCTCCGCAATCCTACCACACAAATCTAGTGTGGTAATCATCCATTTCCATACCTGTCCCCTGAGTCAACTTGGGGTGCTGTCAGGAAAGGAAAAAATGCACTCAGGTTGGCTCATTTGGGGAGAGCCTGGTATCAGGACTATTAACAATGGTGAGGGTGGGGTGTAAGGTGACCCCAGGGACAGCATGGTGCTCTGGTCTGAAGAGACAAGGGGAAGGGGAACTTACTGGGCCCAAAAGAAAAGAGGTGTGTGGAGAGGGCCTCCTTGACAGGCACTGTGCCCTTTGGCCAAGGGACGCAGTCAGCCTTCAGCCACACTGCTGGGAAAGACTGTAGCTGCCCTGTAGCCACACTGTAGCACCCAAACCTCTCTCCCACCTCCAGCTTCCCTCAGGTGACCCCCGCTGGCTGAGCCCAGCAGAGGCCAGAGGCCAAGGGAGCCTGTTGGTGCAGCCCAAGGAGGTCAGGTCCTGGGGCTGACATCAGGGTGGGTGAGGGTGGAAAGTAAGCCAGGAGAGGCAGGGGAGGCCTCCAGCAGCCCCCCAGGCTGCTCCTTGTGGGTCCCAGCTGCCTTGCCAAGAGGGAACAAAGCCTGCATGAGACCCACCTTGCTCCAGGCTGGATGGGGGTGTCCAGACGTCGAGGCCGGGACCCACAGTGGGCAAGGTTTGACACACAGCAGGCTCTGACCAGAGCAGGAGGATCCCGAGGACCTGCGGGGCTCCTCAGAGACCTGCCCATGCTGGTCACCTGGCCAGGTGAAAACACCACCCTCAGTGGTAGACACTGTTGTCCTTCTCCCACCCAACTCTTACTCCTCTCTGCAGGAGGGTGGAGAACCGACCGCCAGCTGTGTGCACGTGGAACCCGAGAAGGGGCGGCCCAGCTTCCAGAGGCAGTCCACTCGATGGTTAGGAGCAGGACCCTGGAGCCTGACTGCCGGGGTTCAAATCCCTGTTCCCCACTTCCTAGCAGTCCCTTACTCTTTCTGTGGCTCAGGTTCTTCATCTTTCAAATGGGCATCCTAACTCTTGAGGAGGGAATACGTTAACATACGGAAAGTCCTCAGCCCAGGCCTTGGTACGTGCTCCCTAGATTGTCTTCAGGATCACCAAGTGTCCCTGTTGAGCCCGGATCCAAGCTCTCTTTGGCCTGGGGGACCCTGGGTTGTTCTGGACGCTTCCCTTGAGGTGGGATATTAGTAGACGGCAGCCACCACAGCCTGATGTGTGCCGAGAACCTGGTTCACAGAGCCCAACACATCCATGATTCTCATTTGCCCCAACAGGGTAGACTGGGGGTATCTCACAGATGAAGAAACTGAGGTTCAGGAAGGTGCTTTTTCAAGACAGCCTCAGCAAGGGAGCAGGAGATTCAGCACTTGACCCTGTGGTTCCCATTTTCCTCCACCCATGTGTTCATAGAGCACAAGGCACAGAGAATGGATGGTCAGGGAACCCGACCGCATAGGGCAATGCACAGCAAAGAGGCTTGCTTGGCCGGAGGAAGGAGAGACGGGGCTAGAAGATCATAGGAGCCTGAATGCCAAGGTCAGCATCAGGAGATGGGCTTTATCCCATGGGGGGAAAAGCCCTTGAAGATTCTCTAGCAGGCAGTTGGGTGGAGAACATGGCTCCCAGGAAGCAATGTGAGAGGAGCCTTCCCACAGCCCAGGCAGTGTGACCAAAAGTGTGGTTCAGGGCACCTGGAAGTGCTGGCGGATTTTCCCCAAGAAGGCAGGCTTCTTAGCATCACAGCCCAGCTGATCTCAGTGAGTGGGTGGCTGCCCCGAGGCTGGGCAGCCCCCCAACTTCAGGCAAAGTGTCAGGGATGAGAGTTCCTTTCCTTAAATACCGTCAGGCAGTGACTAAGGCAGCCCCCACGGAAGGGGGAGCTGTGCCCGAGTGCACCTTCCCTGGGGCCTGCCCACGGTTTCCTGGGAGGAGGCCAGCAGCACCCACCAAGCAGGACTGGGCTGGGAAACATCCCCAGCCTTGCCTCGTCACTCCATCCATCCGTCCATCCTGCAATGTGTAGACAGTCTGGGCCAGGCTCTGCAGGGGCTGGGACATCAGCGGCTCTCGACTCCACAGCCAGCTACCCATCCTCACTGCATGTCTGGCCCGGGGCTGGAGTTGAACACATGGAAGAAAGATGGCAACCAACTCAGCCATGGCATCACGAGAGCTCTGTAGAGCCTTGGGCACTGAGGATGGGGATTAGTTGGTGTCAGATTGCGGAAGCTTTGAATGCCACCAGATTGGCCAACTCCGAGAGGAAGACAGGTGGCTTTTAAGTCCTGAGGGCTGAGCCACCAAAGGAAGGAGGATTGGTGTTGAGGATGTGGGCGCAGCAGAGTCAGGACTCCTGCCCAGGCCTCTGGATTGCCCTTCCAGAGCTCTCGCCCTGCTATGGCCTTGCAGGCCCCTCACGGCAACCTCCTCCCAGCTTTGGGGCTCCCTCAACGGCTCTTTCTCTGCAGATCCAGAGGAATGCCTACTCTATCTTCTTTGATGAGAAGTTCTCCATCCCCCTGGATCCTGCAGCCCTGGAGGAGAAGAGCTTGCGGTTTTCCGTGTTTGGCATCGATGAGGATGAGCGGAATGTCAGCACCGGGGTGGTGGAGCTGAAGCTTTCTGTACTTGACCTCCCACTGCAGCCCTTCAGCGGCTGGCTCTACTTACAGGACCAGAACAAGGTCAGTCTGCCCACCCGTCCACCCATGAAGATGGTGTCACACACATACACTTCAGAGGAGGGACCCCACTGTCCTCTCCAACAGCCTGAACCCTCGCATCTTTAGGAACTCAGAGAGAGAAACCTGAGCCACATTCAAGGAGACCGAGTCCACTGCATGCAAATGGAAAACAGCCTGACCTCCGCTTATGCCCTTCTATTGCTCCTGCCGCCAAAACTTCGGAAGCTCTCCTCCTATAGAGCTTCTGTTAGGAAAGTGCCCCTCTGGCCCTAAAGTGACTTATTTCAGAAGCCAAGCCTTTACTGTTAGAAGAACAGGAGCGATCGGGGAGCATCGCTGTTATTTAAGCAAATGATCTTCTAATCCCAGTCCACTTGGAATGCACCACTGCTACAGAACGGTTTCCTTGGTCTAAAATGAGGGAACGTAACCGCATTTGGTTGCTACATTTAACAGGAAGCCTCCGGCGCTACTTGCAAGGCAGGACCCACACGGGCAGGGAGGGAGGGATGTGCATGGTCCTGCATGGTCCATGGGAGGGGCATTCCCATTCTCAATCCCAGCAGCCTAGGGCCACCAAAGAGCAGCTTTTCTCAATAGAGGAGAAGGCTTCTGCCCTTCCCTCCAGTCCAGGGGGTGGAAACCCTCTGAGCCACCAACGTGCCCTCCAGGCCGCCGATGCCGCGGGTGAGATCCTGCTCTCCCTCAGCTACCTCCCGACAGCCGAGCGCCTCACCGTGGTTGTGGTGAAAGCCAAGAATCTCATCTGGACCAATGATAAGACCACAGCGGGTAAGGTCCTGCTGGCTGGCTGACTCCTTCCTGTGGCTGGTGGGAGCTGTGGCCCCCACCGCTCAGCCCAGAGCAGTGGGGGCATCAGCAGGCGTGGGGCACAGTATCAGCCTCCCCACCCCCGACCTTGACTAAGCCCAGGGGGCCATGCACAGTGGTAAGATGAACCTAGCTGGGGAGAGACGGAACCACAGAGGGTGGCAGGGAGCCCTGTGCAGGGAGAGGTGGGGGCCTAAGAGTAAGAGGCAGCGCGCACTCACAGCTGGGGCACCGGGAAGAAGCCAAGGTGAGCACCCACTTCCCAGGACTGGAATTCAGGGGTGGAGGCTGCATTCCCAGAGGTGGGGGCTGCATCCCAGATCCCAAACAGGTACCAGGGCCCTGGGGCTGTGTGGGTGCCATGCAGGACCTGATGCCCCAGGTCTGCAGGAGCCTCAGCATCAGGTAACTGAAGACAGAAGGCTGGGGAAACCAACGTACTGGGGGCCTTGGGGAACCAGGGGTCTGGGCAGGGGCAGCAAGGACACTCAGTGGGCAGTAGGTGCCAAGCAGAATAACTTGTTATTTCAGAGCAGCATGTTGTCAAGTCAAGCTTTGCTGAGCGGGTGCCGGGTGACTCAGGGCTGACGTCTGCACTCAGGCCATTTATAGAATGAAACGTGGTGGGTCTGCTGAGCTCCCCAGAGTGTCATGTGAGTGGAACATGTGTGTGGGCTGAGAGGAGGCAAACTGCCTGAGTCCAGAGCCCAGCTCTTCTGACTCGCACCGGAGCCTCAGTTTGCTCATCTGCAAAATAGGAAAGAAAGGGCTAGTGGCAAGACTGCAGGAAATAATGGTGATAGGAAGGTCTGGGGATTGGGAACCAGGGGGCTGTGCCCAGTGAGTGTGGCTCTGGCCCTCACCCTCACCCCTTTGCCCACCCACAGACCCCTTCGTCAAGGTGTATCTGCTGCAGGATGGGAGGAAAATGAGCAAGAAGAAGACCGCTGTGAAGAGGGACGACCCAAACCCTGTGTTCAACGAAGCCATGATCTTCTCAGTGCCGGCCATTGTGCTCCAGGTGAGGGAGGAACTCACAGGGGTGGGGGGGGGCCACCACCACGGCTCTGGGGCCACTCCATCCCCTCCAAGCTCGCTTCTCAGGGCTCCCGTAGGTGGTGATGGAGATGCATATGTTGAGTGTCCAGTAGTTACCAGCTCTATGGGGGCTGCTGGAGCACAGGCTCTGCTTCCAGTGGTGTTTGCAGGGGACGGGCGGGAAAGTCCTAATCCACTGAGAGCATGCCACACTTCGGCGGTCAGGGGAGGCTTCTGCAGGAAAGGTTAGCTAAGCTGAGACCTGGGACAAGACCATTCCCAGTGGGGGGAGCCACAAAGGCCTGGAGATGAGTCAGGGGTACCCCAAGGGCCCAGAGTTCTGGCCCTAAATCTCCTGAGGTTCTACATGCAGAGGCCCTGCTAGCTCCCCACAGCCCCATAGCCTTTAGAAAACGATGTGCCCCAGGGAGACCCCTCCCAGCACAGATATCACAGAGCAAGAGTGTAGGGGCTGCAGAAGAATGGCCTTGGTCATTCCAGTGGCCCTGCTTGCATGCCTCAGAGGACAGCAAGCTCACCACCTTGCCTCACTACCTCCTTCCATCCTTGGGTGTTCCTGACAGTGAGAAAGTCTTTTTGTACTTGATCCAAAACCTGAAACCTGCCCCCCAGCCCTGGGGCTGTGCAGAACCCCACTGATCTCCCCTCCCGGGACACTGCTTTTAGAATTTGAAAGCCCAGCCCTCGGCCTCGCTCTGGGTGTTCCTACCCCAGGGAAACATCCCGGCGTCTCTGGTTGGTGCTGCGTGTCATTGCCTTGCCCTGCCACCCTCATGGGACAGGCTGCTCATCTGCCCCCTGCTCCCCACTGGGTGGCCGTGGTGCCACTGCTCTGCCGCCTGCCCAGGGTGGGACAGAAAGGTGGGAGGAGAGAAGTCAGGCTGGGTTCTGGTTTCAGCTGCAGCACTTTGATCTCAAGCACGTCTTTACTTCCTCAAGTTAGGAGTCCGATGTCTGATTGTGTTAGGAACAACACGCCTCTGTGATGCTCTGTGTGCAGGTACAGTCCTAAGAGCTTTACACATTTCCACTCCTTTTGTTCCCAGAATAGGTAGGAGCTATTATTATCACCAATTTACAGGTGGGGAAACTGAGGTAGGAAGCTTGCAAGTCACTGCCCAAGATCAAGCAGCAAGGAAATGGTGAGACCAGCATTTGGACCTGCGCGCCCTTGTGCTGCCACCGTGAAGGGAGGCAGCAACAGAAGGCTGTGGGCAGGCAGCTCCGACGTGAGGATTCAGGGAGCTGTGCCAGATACACCCCCTGGGGCCTGGCATTTATAGACTGGGACCCGGGGGCCACAGAGGGCCTCTGGCACTGGCCCTGGTCCCAGCACCCTTGTCACTTTCTTCCTAGGACCTGTCTCTCCGTGTGACGGTGGCTGAGAGCAGCAGTGATGGCCATGGGGACAACGTGGGCCATGTCATCATCGGGCCATCAGCCAGTGGCATGGGCATCACACACTGGAACCAGATGCTGGCCACGCTGCGCAGGCCTGTGTCCATGTGGCACCCTGTCCGGCGAAACTAGCAGCCGGGGCAGGACCAGGGTGGGCACTGGAGCTGCCTGGGGTCTGGCACAGCTCAGCTCTGATGCCCTTTTCCAGTCCAGCTGGAGCCATGAACACTGGGAGCCCCCAGTGGAGTCCCCACGAGCCACCTTGGTCCCTCCATGCAGGCTGCAGCAGAGGAGTGGGCCTGGCTAGATATCCACGGTTTGCTTCCACTGAGGCCAGCTGTGGCTGGGCTAGGACCTAAGGAGGGCAGCTGGGCCCTGGCCCACTGTGCTACCATTCTGAGACCCTCAAGCGGTCTATCCATTGGTCTGGGGGGACCTTGGCCTCTCAGAGCTCCCCATTCCCTACCCTTGCTGGGAGGCCAGCAACAAGCTGGGCCATGCACAGGAACTGAGTGAGTCTCGGGGGCCAGGCAACTGTGCTAGGCACCAGTAGGGGTGACAGGAATAAGACACAGCCCCTAGGACGTCAGGAAGACAAGACCTGCCTGCCCTGGTGATCCGCTCAGTGCTGAATGGCTTGGTGGGGGGGGCTCTGGGGGTTGGGGGAATGAGACGGAAGCTGCGCTTTGAGGCACAGGAAAGAACTGGGTGTCCAGGCAGGCAGCCCAGCTTAAGCCATGGCAGGGCTGTGAACTTCCCCGTCAGAGTCTCTAGCCTACTGCAGTGGATGCAAGGGCCTCTTTCTGGGCAGGTCAAGCAGAGGCCCACAGGGTACATGCGACACTGGCTCTAGGTCATTCTCTGTGAAATCTACTCCCTTGAGCCACAACCCTTACAAGGCCCAGAGGTGCAAGGAGGCCCAGACCCCAGGCCCTTGTGTCCAGTTCCATGCAAACCAGGCACTGACTCCGCAGTATTTGTTGGAGTCCGTCCAGGCCAGGCCCTGTTGGGAAGAGAGATGGGGGCTGGTGGGCAGTGGGGCAGCCAGGAGACAGACTGCATGGGGTGCGTTGGACAGGCCTTTGGGGCTGCAGGTGCCCAGGAAGATGCAGTGGAACAGGAGGCCCTGGGCTGGCCGGAAGGGGCAGCCTGAGCAGTGGCAGTGAGGAGCAGTCAAGAAACGTCAAGATGGGTTTGGGGGACAGGGCTGAATGCCACCCTGACAAGGTTCTGGAGCGTGGTTCAGACCTCTGCAAGCTCAGCTCAGGAGGTGTCCTACGGCGATGTCCCGAGGCAGACCCTGAGATGTGTAGGCAAGGAGTTTACTAGGGGAGGGCCCTCAGGAGACCCTGCAAGGCAGAAAGGAAAGCCTGGGCCCGGGGAGTACGCAGCAAGCCGTGGCTTCAGGAGAGTCTCGCTTTGCCTGATGGCTTGTGGGAGCTCTCTGTGGGAGTGGCACCCCAGGGGGTGCTTCCCAGAAGCAAAGGGGTTGGGCTGTTACAGCCCACTCAGTCTTTGGCTACCACCACCCCAGCTGGAGGGAGAGCGCACATAGCCTTCCAGGTGTCCCTGGCTGAGGCAGGGCCAAAGCAGCCGGCAGCTGTGTACCCTTTGAGCAGAAGGGGCCCCTGCTGGTTTTCAAAGGGATGGGGTTGGGGGAGGCATGTAGTAGCATCTGCTCTACGGAGCCACCCACAGATGAGTGCGTGGGCTCTCAGGCTGGCTGCCTCTGGCTCTGGTGAGCTATGGAGAGCCAGGCCCAACCAGTTATCCCTAGTGATGTTTGGGGGGGGCCAGGGTGGTCATGGGATTGGAGGTAGGACCGTGGCTCTCTCCACCTGATACAGCCATGACCCAGCCTTACAGCCATACAGCATGTCCACCCTGTGGCCAGCACAGGGCCCAGGGACACACAGCTGGCAAGCCTCTGCAGCCTGGGAGACCCCAGACTTTTTCAACCCCAGTGACTGTGCTGTGCAGGCCATTCACCCACCTTCACTACCCCCTCTTCCCTCACTCTAACTGCATGAAATGTTGACTGCACCCAGGATGGGCATGGTGGGGACCGAGTATGCTGACTGGAATGATTCTAGACCCAAAATAAAGCTGGGGCAGGAAGGAGGGGGCTTCCAGGAGCCCTGCTTGGTCCTGATGACCTCCGTCTCTTCTCCAGGTCTCCACATGATGGAGGGGAAGGTACTTTGATGATGCCCTCCCCCACTGCTGGGTGCCCAGGGGGAAAGAGGCTCCTATTGCTTGGGAGGACCATCACAAGGATCGGTGCCATCAGGCTGCTTGGGAAATGCTGAGAAGGGGCCCTGAGCCAGGCTTGGCAGGGAGAATAGCAGTAGGGAATATCAAGGAAGGCTTCCTGATGGTGTCACTGAGCCTAGTCTTCAGGGCAAGGAGTATAATGCCAAAAAAGGTAGATAAGGCCAAAAAAGCATTCCTGGCAGAGGGAACAACATATAGAAAAGAGCAGGAGTGGGCAAAAACTTGGTTAATATATCAACCTTGCTAGAGAAAAGTTGGGGGAAGAGGGGAAGGGAGCCAGAGGAAAGGATTGGAAGTGAGAAGGGCCGTGTGAGTGCAATGGGTGCTGGTGTCCAGGTTACAACCCTGCAATGCTTAGAGGTGGGTACTGTTGTACCCTCATTCGCAGACATGGAAATGGAAGACCAGAGAGGTTAGGTAACTAATGCAAGATCACACAGCCAGAAAGTCTCAGAGCTGGGATTCAGCTCAGGCTCGTGGGCTCCAGAGCAGGTGCTTTTTACCACTAGGCCACATCGCCTCTTCCCCAACTCCTTGAGGGTGGGGCTGAGGGGTAGCAGAGAAGCCCCCCAGAGGCTGTTCTGGCTTCCCCCTCTTGAGCCCTGGAAGATCACAGCAAGTGTGGGGAAGAGGATCTGGGTGGGAATTGCCAGCAGTCCCCAGGAAGCCTGTCCACCACAGTGACTGTGAAGAGCTTCTTTGGAACCCGAAGCAAGGCATACAGAGGTAACCAATGAGACAGGCCACTGCCGGAGCCCACAAAGGCTGAACGCCAGCAGAGGCTTCCAGGAGGAAATGGAAGATTGAGTACTGGCCTTGCAGGGCCGGGAGGATGGTGAGAGGCCACTAGGCAGGGGAATTGCCTGCAGAAAGGCACCACATGTGTCTGGGGAGCTGCACAGCCAGCTGAGCCTGGGGAGGCCAGGTGGGGCTGAGCTGGGGAGGGTGTCCAGGGTGAGGCTAAGGGTCCTGGTCCTGCTGGCAGTGGGGAGCCATGAGGAGGTCCTGGGCAGGAGCAGGTCCGAGGAAGAGGGACAGGAAGGGGGGCCGCTCTAAGCGACTTTGGAAGTGAGGGACATCGAGTGCTGGTCTTGGTCCCTAAGGGGTTGTCCGAGCCGCCTTTAGGCTTTGGGTTCACTCAGCAAGGCCCACACTGAGGTACCCCCACCTCTTCCTGTCTCTGCTCCACTCTCCTACCACCCCGGCTCCTCTAGCCCTAGGGCAACAGACCTGCCTCGAGGGTCCCAGGACTGCTCTGTCTAGGCCAAGGCCTACCCAAGAGGGCGGCTGAGCCAGGCCGGCCTGTGAGGGGAAGGATGGGCGGCTTTAGCAGCCACACTTGACAGCAGCTCAAACCCTCTCCCCTGCCTTGGTCATCTATGCCTGCAGAAACCCAAGGGGAGAAACCAAAGCTCGGCAAACACCGAGACTGGGCCACAGGGTTCCCCACTTCCCTCACCACTCCCACCCCATTATCAACCTTCCATCCCACCCACAAGGACCAGTAATGGCGAGGCAGGGGGAGGTTTTGGGGCAGGAGGCCTTCTACCCATGCTCTGAACTCCTGCTAAATGGCAGCCAGAGTTAAGTTGGTCTGGAGGAGGCCAGACAGAAGGAGGCGGGAGAGGAGGCCCTTCTGATTTCCACTGGCCATGGACTGGGTCTGCTGCCTACTTGCTGTATGACAAGCCCCTCCCCCTCAAGAGCCTCAGTTTCCCCATCTGAAGAATGAGCATATTGGGCAGGAAGGCCTCTAAAGACTCCCACACCTCTGTCTTTTAGGGATTGGGCAGTAGGGGAGGGGCCTCTAGAGCCCAAATGCTGGAGCTTAGAATCCTAGCAACTCCACTTACCAGCTAGATCTTGGGCACTAGATCTAATGAGGCTAAGAATTATACATACTTCATAGCAGGGAATGAAATTGACACCTGCCAAGCATCTAGCTCACAGTAGGTGCTCAGCATAGATGAGGTCAAGGCTTGGGGTGGAGTTCTGGCCAAGGACAAGAGCTCTGGGAACCTGGTGTTTGGGACTAACGGTGGGGGTGGGGTACATGGGGAGGCATGAGGAGCAAAGGGCCTGCACACCCTGCCGAGGCATCCAAAGGGCAGGACCAGACCTCTGAAGTTCCGACCCCTGGCACCCACTGTCCTCCTTAAGTCATATATGAACACCTGACACCTCAAGACAGGAACCCCAAGCTGAGCAGGCAGCCCTAGGTGACGACCATGAAGGGAGCGGAGCAGCCATCTGGGGGCAGCAGAGACTCCACAGGACAGCAAGGGACTCGAGGAGGAGGAGAGGGTAGATGTCCGAAAATGGGGCAGAAGGGCAGGGCCAGGGACCCTTGGAGCAGATGGAGGCTGGAGGGTGTTCACCTCTCTGCTGACGCTGCACTTGGTGTCTGCTGTTTTCACTTAACCATGCAGTCGTTTGTTCTTTACTCATTCCTGCAATGTGTCCATTCTTTTGAAAGTCAGTCTACCTTCCCTCCTTCCTTTCTCCCTTGTTCCTTTACCTTCCTTCCTTTCCCCTGTTTGCCCAGCTAGGTAGTTGATTGAATATAACATCCCAAGCCACAACTGGGGCAGGTGCCCCTGCTGGGGGTACAGAGTTGGGTCAACCTTGGTCACTGCCTTGAGATGCTCAAGGCTTGGTTGGGGACTAGAAGATCCTGCCTGGCTGGCTGCATCCCGCGGGGGATTCCAGGTCTGCTCAAGGCTGGCCTGGCCTCCTCTGCCGCTCTGGGATGTGCAGGGCAGTGACCTGCTGCACAGGGCACCCGGAAAACACCGGGCTTGGGACTGGTAGGTCTCAAGAGACTGCATAACCTACAGGTTGGCAGTAAACAGCAGCCACAGAAGACAATGAAAGAGTAAACAGTACCCTGACCAGGTGGACTGTGACCCAGGCCACCGCCCCACTCCAAAATAAACTCCAGGTAAACTCCAGTGCCATCCAGGGCCCAGCAATGTCTGAGATTTGGGGAAATTCCCTGTCAACCAGGGCCCAGTGACCAATCTCCCTCTTGCAGAAGCATGAGGGTAGAGTGGGAGTAGGCTGGGGTTTCACATCAAGAGATCTAGGTTCAAGTCCTGGCTCTGTGTCTTGCTAGTTTGAGACAAGCTGCTGCCTTCTCTGGGCCTCAGTTCCCAAAATCTGTAGAATGGGAGAAGCAGTTCACCTATCCTGCCCACCTCATGGTCTGAGAGCTGGATGAAATTTAGGGAATGGCGACCACGAGGTGTACTGTGAGGAGACAGCCTGGTGTAGTGGCCAGACCCAGATTCAAATTCCAATTCTGCCTCCTACTAGCTGTGGAGCTTAGACGAGAACTTAACCGACAAGAACTTGACTTCTCTGGGCCTCAGGTTCCTCACCTGTAAGATGGGGCTAACAATTCCCACCTGCTAGGACATAGTGCCTGCACACGGTTAGCAATCCATTACACTGTTATTAGGAAACGTTCAGTGAAACTGTAAAGTATGACACACATCAAGGATGTCATTAGAGTTATTATCCCTATAGCAACCAAGGTCAAACGCCTCTGCCTGACTCTCAGCTCCTTCCACCCCCAGTCTGGCCCCACCTGCCTCCCATCCTTGTCATCCAAAGCCTGATGACAGCAGCAGTGGGGAGAGCAGGCTGACAGCTGATCGTTGGGGGATGGGCCTCCTCCCCACCACCCGCTGGGGCGGGGAGCCCTGCTCAGTGGCTACACACCCAGCCCAGTGCCGAGTCACTGCCCAGCCCTTTGGCAGTTTCGGGGAGAAAGGGGCACCTGAAGGGTGGGGATGTCTTGGGGTACACCTGCCATCCAGGTGAGGCCCCTCTCAGCCTGTTGACCACGGCCCTGTTGAGCTTGGGATAGGATTCAGGAATCTGGGCTCTGCCTCAGTACAGGGGGGACAGCAACTCCTGCCCTGGCTGCCTCTTTGGGCCACTGTCGTTCGAAGGGGGCCGAGGCAACTTTTTCACCTGCTTAGCTTTGAAAACAGTCCAAGATTTAGGGAGACCCTTTTGCCCATTTTTAAAAGATTTCAATTCTGGCCACTAACCCAAGTGGGAGGTCAGGTGGGGTAAGTTCTCAGCTCAGCTCTGCCTTTATTCCTGGCATCCAAAACGCTCCACTATCCAGGCCCTGCTTAGCCTCATGCCGGCACCAGCTCCCCAACCCAACCTCACTCCCATCACAGGGAAGGACTGTGACCCCCCAGTGCCCCCTTCTCTCTTGCCACCATACTTTGCATGTGCTGTTCCCTCAGTTTGGAACACCCCCCCTCCCCCATCTGTACCTCACTTTTTCCTCTAGACTCTGGCCCCTCTCAGAAGGGTTTCCTGACACCCCCACCCTGGGTGAAGAGCCTCTCTTCCCTACTCCCACCCACTGCCTGTCCCCACCTCAGGTGTAGGTCTTATCACACCAATGTCCTATCTCCCATTCTAGATTTTGGCTGCTCAAAGTAGGGACTTTGTCTTGAATGGCTCAGGGTCCCAGGCTCTTGGGCACAGAGAGGGCATCAGTGTTGGTTAAATAATAAGATCACTCACACATGGTACAGGCCATGCACCAGACCCTGCCCTAAGCACTTTATAGATGAAGGTTCCATTGCTTTCCCTAGATCATCCCCCAGCCAGAGGTGAAACAGTTGGTCACCCACCTGCAGCAACACTTCCTGGGACTGGCTGGGGTAAGCAGGCCAGGCTAACAGTACCAGCGAATGACCCGTAAGGGCTTGTCTGGGTCACGCTGTTCCCACCTGGCCTTAAACATCTGGAGGGAGGACTGTGGTGTGCTCCGTCTCCAAGCCCTGGGGGAAATGTACCTCCATTCACTCACTCACTCA